TTTTTTAAACACTTGAATGTGGATAAGTTTCATAAATAAAAAATAAAGAAATAAACAACATTTTGAACATAAAGCTGAAAAAAGACTATGAATTGGATTCAGAATGATAATCAAAACGTAGATAAAGTCGATCAACACCCCAAAGCTTGACAGTCATTATTACCTCTTCATTGGTCGACATTTTATTCCATAATGTTACACAGTTTTGATACCGTTTTATGTCTGATGATCGTGTTAGTGGAAGCATGGAAGCATCTGTTGTTTCGGTTTCTTCTTCACTTGTGTTTTTTGGAAATTCTGTACAGAAGATGAGTACCCTACAGTATTATACTTAAATGTCATTTTAAGTGTATTTCTGAGAGGTACATAAAGCCCATGTCTGAGAAGTACATAAAAAGCAGACTAAAAGTATACTTTCCTATTTTTTGTTTAAAAGAAGTATACTAATAGCACACTTGAATAAAGAATATTTTTCGTAAGGGCAGTTATCTTTAGCTAGGTTAGATAGATTTTATGGTTTTAAACATCAAATTAATTTTTTCGAAGAGTGTTCAATTATTCCAGTTTGTTTTTATGATCACAGTCTTGTGAAATGTGAGATGTTTTTTGACTGTGTAAAACCAAAAAGTGCCTATTGGCATTTTAACAGCACACTGTTAGGTGATAAACATTTTAAGGATGTTTTTAAGGCTTTTTGGGTTAATGTAAAATTAATAAAGTCTTCCTTTCAAACTTTGCAGCAGTGGTGGGATTTTTTTAGAGTTCAAACTAAACAACTTTGTCAACAATATACTCACAACGTCACAAAGGATAAGATTAGGTCAATAAGAAAATTAGAAGACGATTTAGTTAAACTTAGAGCTCTTGGAGGTAACAAAAAATGAAATAGAAGATAGAAGTTCATGGACCGGATTCGTGACACTGATGATGTGATAGTGTTAATTAGTAATCAAAATGATGTAAATATGATGTTAGACATGTCTCCTTTGCAAAAATAAACTGGCAAAAGAGTGAAGCTATAATTGCTGGGAGTTGGTTACATGGTGAACCCATTTGACCAGCTGGTCTGAAATGGACCAGAGATAGTTTTAAATACTTGGGTGTCTTTTTAGGCAATGAGAATGCTGTTAAAGAAAATTTTTAAGGTGCTTTTCAGAAGGTTTAAAAGGTTGCCTCGATAGGTGGAAGTTTCTAGTTCCCAAGATGTCATATAAAGGACGACTTTTGGTTATAAATAATTTAGTTGCCTCTACTCTCTGGCATTGTTTAAGTTGCATAGATCCCCCAGTAGATATTTTATCTAAGATTCAGTCATGTTTAGTGGATTTCTTTTGGGACAAGATGCACTGGGTACCAAAAAGTGTACTGTACCTTCCTAAAGAAGAAGGAGGGTTTGGACTGGTACATCTACGAAGTCGAACAGCTGCTTTCAGGAATCAGTTCATGCAAAGACTTTTAACAAGCTCAGAGAACTCAAACTGGAAGAAAGCAGCTTTCTCTATATTGAGAGGGTTTGAAGGCCTGGGATTGGATAGAGTCATATTTTGGCTAGATCCTCAAAAGTTGAAAGTTTCCTGTTTTTTATAGGAATCTTTTTAAAGTGTGGGTCTTGTTAGACACTCCAAAGGAGCGGACTGTGAACTCTTTGTACTGGCTGTTGCAAGAGCCATTAATTTTTGGCTCACGTTTGGCCTTGTCAAGTGAACTGAGTTACTCTGTGACAGAAGAAAATCATATCAACTCTGGACTTTTAACCTTTGGGAAAGTGCTACAAGCTGGAGCTAATTTTTCAGATGTGATTGCAATGACTGAGATGCTGGGGATGAGATCTATGCGTCTGGTTGCCAGAGTACTTGACAAGTGGAAGGCCACTTTGTCTGAAAAAGAATTGAAATTGTTATTAGATTACTCATTGGGGCTTGTAAATCCAGATTGTTTCGATTCATTTCCTGACTTATATTTAACTCCCACAATGGACAATTGTGAAGGCTGTTTCTTAGAAGTTAATAGGTTGATTGTGAAGGACTCAGATATTACTTCTGGAAAGGTCTGCTATAAAATTTGTGTTAAAATTTTTAATAAGACGTTTTTAGATAAAAGAATTGATACTCCTTGGCGTGAGATGCTTAATTTAAATGAGTATGAAAAACCTGAGTGGAGAGTACTGTATAAGTCACCATTATCTCACAAAGGGAAACTGTCTTCCATGCGTTTATGCAGTGTTCTAGACTGACATCTTTATTTAGTGTTTTGAGTAACATTTTTAATTGTTTTAATGAGTGTTTTTCAATGAAGAAATTTATTTGTGGTTTTAAATACTCACAGAGTCGCAAGTATCAGTGTCAGTTGTTTAATTTTATATTGGGACATGCTAAAATTGCAATTTACATTGCAAGAAAATAAAAAAATGAGCATGGGGTTTGTAATGATTTAAAAGCAGTGTTTGCTAATTCAGTTAAATCCAGAATTTTAATAGATTTTATTTATTATAAATTTATGAATGATCTTGCAAAGTTTGAGCTGATTTGGTGTTTAAAAGGAGCTTTGTGTGAGATTTTTGGTGATGGGTTGGTTTTTTTTTTCATTTAAAGTGTTTGTATTTTGTTAGGTGACTGATGTTGGATTGAACTTTTAACTGTTGTATATTGTAATAAAAGTGGCTTGAAATCTCTCTCTCCCTCTCTCTCTCTCTCTCTCTCATTGTGCCCTGCTCATGTGAATGAGAAGGTGTTTTACCACTAGGTGGCACCCAAAGACCTGTGCTGCTCTTTCTGCCTGTTAACCCCCTTAGATTTTCTCATGGTATGATGTGTGTGTATGTATATATGTGTATATATATGACATTGTATCAGTTGAATTGCTGTTACAGACCTTGTATAAGTTTAATAGTTTTCTACTATATTTACACAGTATACACAGTGGATGCAGTTCATTACAAATGATCTCAGCTATGATTGCAGTACATAGAGTATGTGTTTGCACTTAGAAAAGGACAGAAAGAAACTAGCATGTATTCGTGTGTGCAATTTAAAGCCCACTGATCATAAACACATGTACTCTTGAAACACAACAGAACATAATTAAATTACATGCTTATTTTATTTGCTATACTGTATAGAAGCAATGCAAACACAGCTACAACACCGTAGGTTAAATGGATTATTGTTAACTCACACTTTACAATAAGGTTCAATTTGTAAAAATTAGTTGATGCCTTAGATGTCATGAACTAACAGTAAACAATTATTTTACTGCATTCATTAATATTGGTTAATGTTAGTTTTTTTTAAATATAGTAATACATTTTGTAACATTTCAAGCTGTATAAATCAAAATGAGTTCATATGTAATAAACATGAAATAACAATGAACAATAATACTTATAAATAAACTGTTAATGTTTTTAAATTATTGAATTAACCTAGATTAATAAAAATGTTGTTTTTTGTTAGTTCATGATGGACTAAATAATGTTGAAGGGCATGTTAACTATTTTTGTATGATAATTTTTTTAAATGTAATGAAACTTTTATTTAAAAAGGTAGTGTTTCTGATGAATATCGAAAATAAATGCACAGATATACTCTGCTCTGTTCACAGCACAGTATTAGATTTTCTTTAACTTTGCTGTGCACATGTAAATATTCACATTCTTGCATAGTAAAAAAATATTTGCTGTACATTTATACATGGCTTATATGTTTTCAAAACATTTATAGCACCACTTTATCTGTTGTTTTTGATAGTTTGACGTCCTGAGCCTTTGGCAGCTCTTGTGGAGTGTCGATAGAACTGATCAGTCCTTTGGCATTTTGCTGACAGAAGCTATTACAGATGATCTTCAGCATCACTTTGCGAATAGAACTACAGAACAAAAAGTACATGACTGGATCCAGACAGCTATTAAAGGCAGACAGTAGCAGAACTACTTCATTGGTTTTATCCAACACACTTATCCACTCGCAAGCGGTGTCTTTTGCTATCTGTGACATGATATAGAAAATCCTTACAGAGTGGTAGGGCACAAAACATATAGTGAAGAGGAAAAGCACAAAGAAGGACTTCCATGCTGTTTTGTTGTACTTGGCAGCATTTGGGAAATCCGGTTTCTTTTTGGAGGTTGTTAGGAGGTTCATTCCGATCCTTCCGTAGGAGATTACCAACGCACCGTAGACCAGCCAAAACATACCCACGATGGCAAAGTTGAAATAGGCTTTCCATTTGGATTCATGCAGTGTTTTGTATTGGAAGCACTGTTGGGATTCACCATGCTCTGCATTCAGGACAATGAGGCAAATGCCACAAACAAATGCCACAGCCCAGATGACACCGCAGAGAAGCACACTCCGGCTATGCAGGAACACCCGCCTACAAGACGACCTCTGGAACTTCAGATAACGATCTACACTAATGAAGCCCAGTAAGACTATACTAATGTACATGTTCATGTAAAAGATAATGCCCACCATCCTGCACAGTAATGGCGGCAGCACCCACCGGTCATTGTTGGAATGGTACACCACTCGGAAAGGCAGGCAGATCACGAGGAGCAAGTCAGCCAGAGCCAGGTTAATGAGGAATATGCGAACTGAGTTTTTCTTCGGATGTACTCGCAGAAACACCCAGAGAGCCAGCAGGTTCCCAGACAACCCGAACACGAAGAAGAGTGCATAGAAAATAGCCAGCGGGACCTGCAAGCTGGTGTTGTCCGTCTGGCAGTTTGACTGGGGAATTTTCGACATGGTGGTCGGCGATGCGATGGGGAAATATTGAGGATTGTTTTTTGTCATTGCATGTGTATATATCAGACCTTAGAAAAAAAAACAGCAGATGTCATTATAGTACTTACAAAAGACATCAAGTTTTAATGCCATGAAATGCAACATGATGCACACTATAGGTAATTGGAGAGTAACTTACCTTGTGAATTCAGTCCATCAGAGAACTTCTCTGTTGTGTTTCCTTTTGAATGTCTCTGTCTAATCTCAATTCAGATCTCTCTTTGCAAGCTTCCTTTTTTAAGCTCTTCCTTTTTTAGTTCCTCTAAACTCTTGCATACCTCAAAGCACAGCTGTGCACCAGTTAGCATTAAAACAAAGTGTGCAGGCACTTTTAAAGGGGGGAGAGCGTCTCAAACCCACATTTCAACTCGAGGGCTGTTGAACAATTAAAACAATCATTTTATATAAATATTTAATCATGATTATATTATCTTATTTTAAAAATGTTTTACTTATGGGTGATACTCCACTTGTTGAGCTTTGATAATTGCACATCAGTCATATTATCTCATTAAATGGTATAATGATGTTGGACACACACACACATACACACACACATACATATATGTATAGAAGTTTCTAATTTCAATTCCAGTGTGGTCTGTGCAGCAGAGTAACATGTCTTTTTTGTTTTTCAGCCTCATTGTGTGTTGCTGGCATCAAAGGAGAATTCTGCTCCGGTGAAACTTGGTGGCTTTGGTGTGGCTATACAGCTGGGAGAGTCCGGATTAGTAGCTGGAGGTACTTGGGAAAATGCTGTTATAGGTTAAACTTGTAACACATGGACATTTCCTGTGTACCTGTACTGCATGCTAAGGGCTATAGTGCATGCATACAGAAACTTCTAGTTCTAATTCATATGTAGTAAAAGCATGATATTGAAGCACAAACTTTATAGGAAATAACGTATTTTATTTTATTTTGGCTTGAAGAACTGAAACTCTTCAGAGTAAGGTTTCATTTGTATCACAAAGACTAATCATGGATTCAGTTCCTTATTTTATGTGTAGGACATAACTCTCACTCAGTATCGCTTCATAAATTGAGTCATGAATTTTGAATCATTCAGGCAATTACTTTGTTCTGATTAATGAGCTCTCTTGTGCTTAATTGTTCAAACCTTGTATCAGCGACAGCTCTTTTGTAAGTATTTGAATGGATGCTCACATGTCACATGTTGTCTGTGCTGCAGGCCGGGTGGGCACTCCTCACTTCATGGCTCCTGAGGTGGTGAAAAGAGAACCCTATGGGAAACCTGTGGATGTTTGGGGCTGCGGAGTCATCCTGTTCATCCTCCTGAGTGGCTGCCTGCCCTTCTATGGCACCAAAGAGCGCCTGTTTGAAGCAGTCATAAAAGGAAAATATAAGGTAGAAGTTTAATAGCAAAGTCTGTTAAGATTAAATAAAGACATGCTGGAAATATCCTCAAGGCCTTCAAAAATTGGCTGAAGTGAGGTGAAAGCGGCAACATATACTGATTTGTTTAAGGTCTGAGGCAAGACAGCTTCTTAATATATATACATCACTTCCAAAAACCAATGGTTCAGCATTTGGTCCATCCCTATCTCATCAGTGCATTGGAGCCAGTGTCCTATATGGCTCCTTTTCATTTGTCTAAACTGAATAAAGACATTTTAGGGCTTGAAAAATTGGCTGCACACCGACCTGATCTCAAATCAGGAACCACTAACATCAGATTATATTCTCACCACATAAACTATTCAAAACAACTTCAGATAGTTCCAGTTCTCTAATTTGGTCAGAGAATAATAGCTAAGATTGTTGATGGTCTTTTTTTTGTTTGAATTTTTGGGTGATGTTTTTCCATTAAAATAAATACTATAAGTGAATTAAGTTCGACCTAAATATTTTTGTCCTTAGTCAGCTTTCCACACAATTTGAAGTGGATGGTGATTTTAAACGTAGCATAAAAGTGGACCGTACTAGACCCCAACATTCAAAATCTTCTGAAGCCATTTGTTGATTTTTTTTGTGAAGAACAAACTAAAATTTAAGTCATTAATACTAAGTGTCATCATTGTCAATGGAAATGTTGGCAGGTTCTGAGCATCGGTGCTGGTGCCAGAATCATTTTGTTGGAAGAGTGCTATCAGAGGATCTGGGTTTGTCCATTTATGATGCATTTGCTGTGCAGATGAATCCTCGGCAGTGGGGCCAAATCTCAGAGAGTGCCAAAGACCTGGTGCGCCGTATGCTGATGCTGGACCCTGCAGAGAGGATCACAGTATATGAAGCTCTCAACCACCCCTGGCTCAAGGTATCAACAGCATTCAGGAAACATCTGCTTATCTGATCTTACTGATGTTTTGTTCATGTATTAATCTGAAAATTATTAAAAATATTTAATTGTGAAGCAAAAATTATGTAAATGTTTTATTATTATTATTATTAAAACAGTCAGACTGTTTCATACATTTTTCCCAGCTTTGAGGATTTTATGGACTTAAGATGTAATTCCTTAATGAGATGAATAAGCACCATTTGAAGTGTGCATTTCATTTTAGGAGAGAGACCGCTATGCCTACAAGATCCACCTTCCTGAGACAGTTGAGCAGCTGAGGAAGTTCAATGCCAGGAGGAAACTAAAAGTGAGGCATCAGCACTTTACAGTCTCTGCATATTGCTTTAGCAGCTGCTCTCGTGCACGATTCACGTGAATGTGCTGCCGTGTAAACTAAAGACCACAAATAAAAAATTAGGGCAGCCACAGGAAATTAAAGCACATGAGTTGATCAACATCTATGGTTTGACAGGGTGCAGTGCTTGCCGCAGTCTCCAGTCACAAGTTCAACTCTTTCTATGGCGACCCACCTGAAGAACTGCCTGACTTCTCTGAGGACCCTACTTCATCAGGTACTACAACGACCAGCAGAGATCAGATGCCACCCACTCTGTCTTCCTGGAGAGATGCTTTTTTGAGATTTGTAGTCTCTTATGACAGTGTTTGTCTTTCAGATGTTATCTTTCTGACAGAGAAAAAGATTAAGCTTGTTAGTAGCATGCTTAAACAAGCATAACAGTCAGTATAGCCCAAAACTGGTCTCAATAACTAATCTCGCTGCAGGCTATGAAATAGACAAAAATAATAACATACAATTGCACTGAGAGAGAAACATGAGCAGGAGGGTGAGAATATCATTAAAATTTAGGGTGGGCACTTTTGACTTGAAACAGTGAGAAAATGCCCTAGAAACTGCTTAGCAATGCCCTGACAACTACCCTGTCATCATGCTGGGGAGCTCTGCATAGGCAATCACCATTAAATTTTTCTCAGAAAGTGAAAAAAAAGATTTATTTTTGAGCTGTTGTCGCAGAGGAATTTTTTAGTGTCTTCTTTAAATAGACCTTACAGTGTACATTTCACATACTCTCAAACCACCAATGGCTTGGTTTAGAATCTGGTTCATGTTTCCTGTTTATATCTCATATCATCTGTGGTAACGTTCCTTTTTTCCCACAACACTTAACACTGGATTTAATGAGTCACAATTTTTAATAAAAAGTTTCCCTACTATATCCTTTAAGATATACACTTTCATAAAAAAGGTACAAAGCTGTCACTGGGGTGGTACCCAAAAGCTAAAAGATACATATTTGTACCTTATTTACCCCTAACTGCTACATATTAGTATGACAAGGTACCACCCCAGTGACAGTTTTGTACCTGTTTTTGATAGTGTACTTGGAATATCATTTGAATGTTCATTTGTGAGTAGTTCTACACAAACTGATTGTTTTAAGTGTGGGTGAATCATATCTCTATTCACATCACAATCAACTCTGTTTTGTTAAATTATGCTTGTTGCTTGTTTCTTTGCTGGCCGCCCTGCAGGACTACTAGCAGCGGAAAGTAGGTGTCACCGTCTGTCCCCTTACAGACTTAAGTGTTTGCCTGCTTCTTTCAAATCAAGTTAATGCTTTTCCTGGGTATTTAAAGGTCACGGTGTGTGGTCAATTGTGTTTGTGTGTACATGTAAAGGGGCTGTGTCACAAGTGCTAGACAGTTTGGAGGAAATCCATGCGCTGACGGACTGCAGTGAGAAAGACCTGGACTTTCTACACAGCGTCTTCCAGGACCATCACCTCCACACATTGCTTGATGTAAGAGGCTGTATACAGGCACGCACACACACACACACACACACACACATATATATATATATATATATATACCCATAAAATTATTCCTTCATTAAAGGGGTCACTGCCCCATTAAAGGGGTCAACTACCTTTTTATTATTTTGTACTATTCACTGAGGTCCCCTTATAATGTTATCAAGGTTTTTAAATCAAAAAACATAATTTAGAATAAAAAGCTATTTTCTGTCCTTTTTTTAATCCCCCCTCATCAAAACGCTCTGTTTGAATTGGCGTGGCGGATTGTACTGTAGACTCGGAAGTAAACACCCACTGCTATGATTGGCTAACAATTGTGTATGTTTGACAGCCTACATCCTTCACAGATGGACGCTGCTGTGATTTAGGTTAAAACCGCATAAATACTCAGAACATATCAAAGGATCTGTTTAACAGACAAAGCAATAGTGATCACGTAATAAAAACTCACACTCACAAGTTACTTGTATGTTGCGACATTACTGTCGGATCCAGCATTGTCTTTTAGTTTCAATATTTTTGAAAATCAAATTGTGCCTTGTTTGTAAACGAATCAAGTTCTTACTGACGCGGTCTGGATCTTCATTGAAAATAAAGCTTATCCACTCTTTCCTAACGTTGGGATCAGAAGGAAGGCAATGCAAAGACTGTGTTTTTGCACAACTTGATACTGCACCGCATCTTGTCTTCAGAATCATCTTTATTGATTGGTTTCTGCGTAGACCTGTGTTTGCCTCTGTTTCTAACTATTTACACTACATGCACGAATTGGTGGGCAGGGCTAAACGGGCACTTCAGACTCTTCTGCGGAGTCGGTGTTTAGCCACACTATTACATCATAAAGTGGCACAATCCACAACCTGTCGTTTTGGCAGATTGGCTTCGATATAAGCGGTTTTAGACTAACAAGAAGGTTTTGAGTTGTTTTTATAGTACAATGACCTCTTATATGTCAAAAAATTGATTTCTCAGTTAATTACCCCTTTAAACCACATAATCTGATGTGTTAAGATGCTGTTAAATCTTGCTTTGAACTTTTCAGAAGAAAATGTCACATTAGGAATTTTTTTCTTCTTTATTTTTTGCTTTTGATAAA